TGATATTATCAAAGTTTTATATTTATGTGATCTTAACATGTGTACTAAACCGTTCTTTGAATGCACACATTAAATTGTCCTAATGTCCTACACAAATATAACACTCAACGAATTGCTAAATCTAAAGTATTTCAGTACTTCTGTAAAATCACGTCGTCTAAGATTATGAGAATGTCTGAAGTTATAGCCATTCAAAAGCATTACCACATGTGAATAGTAATGACTGCAACCATACAATCCTTTGGCCCAGAAATTCAAAAGTTCATTTATTTTTTGATAAAAGCAGGAAAAGTAATTTATGAGGTCTGGTGTGTCGGTAATGGAAGACGCAGAAGAAGGTGAGCAATTATTGCCTGTTTTAGTTAATGGGTAGGAAGATAAGGCTTTACCTGCCCATGTCTTTTTCAATACTCATTTACCTATAGGTTTTGTCATCGCTTCAACATCTTGTTTACCTTGAATCCACTTTAAAACTTACCAACTATAGGTTCCTATTGCCGACGTGCAAAGTATGTATGATGATATATATGAAAAACTGGTGCAGATCATGATAGATTTTGAATTTACTGTTCATGGACTAACCAATTTGATCCATTGTTAAAAAAGTGAGACCTAAAATGACTACGATAACAAATTATGAACTCATCAATTGTTATCTAAATATTCTAAAAAAAAACTCAATAACTGTCATCTAACTGTTTGATCAATTTGGTTAAATGAAACATTTGGTTTGGTTAAACAAAACATCTGGTTTGAATTAAAAGAGTTTGTCGTCCGTCCTTACTTGTATTAGGTTTCTTACCGTTGTTGCTTGTATTAGGTTTCTTTGCTACTATAGGTAATAAGCTATATAACTTTATTTTATTTCTTTTTTACTTTCCCAAACCAGAAGAACATTCATCAGCTCTACCTCATCATCTCATGGTTACCGATTTTGGTTCAGCATATTTGTATTTTAGCTATATAATTATGTGTTAGATACCTGCTCCAATTAATCCGCAAGGTGTAGAATGGAGCTTTGACAACCTTAAGGAACAAGTTTCAATTTGGACACTTACTAAAGAAGTATAAGGTTACCGTGTTTGAATCAATGGAAGTGGACAAATTAGGTAGAGAGGCACATGAAATAAAACGCGTTTCAGTTGTATGATATTGATAGGCATAGCAGCTGATAATTGCTACGTTTCTCCTCAGTAAAAGCGATAATAATATGGAAATGTGGTGGTTGTTTACTTAAATTTGGTTTTGGTGAACAAAGGCTGTAAAAATTATCCTTGAAATGTGTTAGTTTTTTTCGTATTAATTGGTCACCAAATCTTGTCGAACTGAAGACTTTGTGTCTAAGGAACTAGATTCGTAACATAACTAACCATGTCATTGGATTAAATATCAAATTCAACCACTTGAATGATGGGGTTCACATTCATTTTATTAAAAATTATAATTTGAAAGTGTTTTCCCGTATAAACGAAATTAAATACATTTAGTTGAGGCATAATACTATATATAAAATATTTTTATAAAATATGAATTGATTTTAAATTAAAAATAAATTTTCGCCGATAATCTTTTAGAGAGAGGAAATAGGAAAAGATTACGGGGAGTGTGATGCGTGAAATGTGAAGTGGGTAAGGAGAGTGGGAGGGTGTGCAGGGAGGTGATGTTTGCCACGTGGGAGATCATCAATCTTCACACTTGGACGACACCCTTCACTGCCTCCACTGTCTAGGGATTCAGTCTTTGTCACGTGACTTGATACTTCTTCTGCACGTGCTTCCCTATCTGTTTTTTGCTCTGAATCCTTGTTATTACCCAATCTATAACTATTAAAATCTAACTCAAAAGTATTTGAATAACAATTAAAAGACTGTAGCTTGTATGATTTTGCACATTGGAAATAGGGACTACTTTGCCCTCTGCCTTGAGATCTCGTTACTGTATAACTTTTTTTCTGCTCTTTTCGGGACTAGAGGATTTAAAGAAGGATTTATTAATTGAATTATCACCAATAATATTGATCATGCAATCCAAACCCTGAAGGAAGAAATAAATTAAGGGCATGCAGAAACAGAATCAATAATTTAGTGTATACACTTAAAGAGGACCTCATCACGTAAAAATCATAGGACAAATAATTAATATGCAAGCAAGATAGGGATTAGGGAGGGACCGCTATATAAATACCACATCATCTTCTTAATTTTAACTTCCACGATCTTTCTCAACTACAACCACTCTAACCTCCATATTTATTTCTTCTTTTCTCATTCATCTCACAACCAACAATGGCGATTAACTCCACAACTTGTCTTCTTCTACTTCTCTTCTCATTTGGTAATTAATTCAACTCCCTTCCTTTCGCATTACATCCAAATCTCCCTCCTTCTACCCTTTTATATTCTAATATGCTTTACTGGATTCTGCTTTTGATCTGTTCGCTTTGGGCAAACATAATATCTTTTAATTTGACAGTTAAAAGATCATTTTTAGAATTTTATTAGCTGTTGTAATAACAATCTGCATTGTATACAGGCATTCTAGGTTCTTCAGCTACTGTTTTTACCGTCCAGAATCAATGCAGCTTTACAATATGGCCCGCAACTTTCTGTGGCAACGGCATCGCCACTCTCGGCGACGGGGGTTTCTCATTAGCCCCTGGTGCATCAGTCCAGTTCCCTGTCCCACAAACTTGGTCCGGTCGGATATGGGCTCGAACCGGCTGCAACTTCGACTCCTCAGGCAATGGTAAATGCGTAACGGGTGATTGCGGTGGTTTGCTAAAGTGCCCAGGCGGTGGCGCTCCGCCAGTCAGCCTCGTGGAGTTCACTATCGGCAAGGACGCTAATGACAAGGACTTCTACGACGTTAGTCTTGTTGACGGTTATAACGTGGGGTTAGGCGTAAAGGCAGTTGGTGGAACCGGAGATTGTCGATATGCGGGTTGTGTTACTGATCTTAACGGTAAATGTCCGGCGGAGTTACAGGTGACAGATTCAGGTTCTGTTGTTGCATGTAAAAGCGCGTGTGCGGCGTTTAACACTCCTCAGTTTTGTTGCACCGGTGATCATGCTACGCCTCAAACATGTTCACCCACACAGTACTCGCAGTTGTTCAAGAATGCTTGTCCCACGGCTTATAGTTATGCTTATGATGATGCTACTAGTACTTTTACTTGTTCTGGGTCTGATTATTTGATCACTTTTTGTCCCAGTTAGATGAATTTACTTACAAGATCTAATGTTATGTTATGTACTTATGATGCATACACTATTTTGATTTCTGGGGTTTTGGTGATTGGTTTACTGATAATTAATTACTCTTAAAAATGATAAGGAAGTTCGATTTCTGTTTGCGTTTGGTTGATTTAGTGTGATGGGAAATTAATTAATATGAAAGCATTCCTTTCACTCTTTAGTCTCATGTTATTGGAGAAGAAGACGATTTTGGGGTGTTGATGCTGGGGTTGTTGAATTGCCTTGGACTAACAAAAAGAAAACATATACCTATCCAAGTGTATAATTTAGGATTAAGGTCCAACATAATTTGAATTATTAGATTTGGCATAAATGCTCCGTTTATTATGTATTATTTTGGTAGCATTAATGCTTCTCTTTTAAGCCCCTAACCTATCACACATTAGACACTCATGCATAGACAATTATTTTGAAAACAACAAATCATGTTATTAAATTGATGAAAACATTATATATATATTAATTGGTGAGCGGATAGACTTATACATTTCTGAAATTATTGGATTATTTTGGGTAATTAATTTAAACAGAAAGGATTGGGTAAGGGTGTATGTGTTGATAGATTTGAGGAAGGCAACATTTCAGCAGTGCGCTGTGGTTAGGTCAATTGAAACATCATTATCTTAATTACATAACTAACTTAAAACTGCAAAAGTCATGTGCATTTCTTGCATTCACATTCATGTATGTATGTTTGACACAAACAATCAAGTTAGCTTATCCGATTCTTAATTGCAAAGCAAAAGCAAGTTCACGTCTTGCATGTAATCAATAATATATAACCAAGCTTCTTCAGTAGAGAGGAGGCCAGTGATTTGGAGTTTGGACAACACAGTATGTTTAACATTCTTAGCATTCTACAACAGCACGACCTTAATGAAAACTTGAGCAAGCTTCACCAAAACAAATTGATTTTGATTTAATTGCCTAGCTTGATTGACAATTTGAGACACCACATTTCAATTTTCAACTAGATCTAGCAAGATATAGGATTGGTTCACAAGATTGATAATTCTATACGAGATGCAATTTTCCAAAGTGGCTGACTAAAAAATTGCATCTAACAAAGAGCTCAACATATGGATTTTATTTTGCAACTGACTTTTGGATTTCTATGAACCATACGGATTGTGCTAATATCCCATATTCTGCATAAAACGGTACACCAGTTATGGATAATAATAATAATGCCTCCAGATAAAAACGTACGAAAGAGTGTTACTAAATACTAACAAATAAAACCTTCACTGCCTCCACTGTCTAGGGATTCAGTCTTTGTCACGTGACTTGATACTTCTTCTGCACGTGCTTCCCTATCTGTTTTTTGCTCTGAATCCTTGTTATTACCCAATCTATAACTTTTAAAATCTAACTCAAAGTACTTGAATAACAATTAAAAGACTGTAGCTTGTATGATTTTGCACATGGAGATAGGGACTTTGCCCTCTGCCTTGGGATCTCGTTACTGTATAACTTTTTTTCTGCTCTTTTCGGGACTAGAGGATTTAAAGAAGGATTTATTAATTGAATTATCACCAATAATATTGATCATGCAATCCAAACCCTGAAGGTAGAAATAAATTAAGGGCATGCAGAAACAGAATCAATAATTTAGTGTATACACTTAAAGAGGACCTCATCACGTAAAAATCATAGGACAAATAATTAATATGCAAGCAAGATAGGGATTAGGGAGGGACCGCTATATAAATACCACATCATCTTCTTAATTTTAACTTCCACGATCTTTCTCAACTACAACCACTCTAACCTCCATATTTATTTCTTCTTTTCTCATTCATCTCACAACCAACAATGGCGATTAACTCCACAACTTGTCTTCTTCTACTTCTCTTCTCATTTGGTAATTAATTCAACTCCCTTCCTTTCGCATTACATCCAAATCTCCACCTTCTACCCTTTTATATTCTAATATGCTTTACTGGATTCTGCTTTTGATTTGTTCGCTTTGGGCAAACATAATATCTTTTGATTTGACAGTTAAAAGATCATTTTTAGAATTTTATTAGCTTTTGTAATAACAATCTGCATTGTATACAGGCATTCTAGGTTCTTCAGCTACTGTTTTTACCGTCCAGAATCAATGCAGCTTTACAATATGGCCCGGAACTTTCTGTGGCAACGGCATCGCCACTCTCGGCGACGGGGGTTTCTCATTAGCCCCTGGTGGATCAGTCCAGTTCCCCGTCCCACAAACTTGGTCCGGTCGGATATGGGCTCGAACCGGCTGCAACTTCGACTCCTCAGGCAATGGTAAATGCGTAACGGGTGATTGCGGTGGTTTGCTAAAGTGCCCAGGCGGTGGCGCTCCGCCAGTCAGCCTCGTGGAATTCACTATCGGCAAGGACGCTAATGACAAGGACTTCTACGACGTTAGTCTTGTTGACGGTTATAACGTGGGGTTAGGCGTAAAGGCAGTTGGTGGAACCGGAGATTGTCGATATGCGGGTTGTGTTACTGATCTAAACGGTAAATGTCCGGCGGAGTTACAGGTGACAGATTCAGGTTCTGTTGTTGCATGTAAAAGCGCGTGTGCGGCGTTTAACACTCCTCAGTTTTGTTGCACCGGTGATCATGCTACGCCTCAAACATGTTCGCCCACACAGTACTCACAGTTGTTCAAGAATGCTTGTCCCACGGCTTATAGTTATGCTTATGATGATGCTAGTAGTACGTTTACTTGTTCTGGGTCTGATTATTTGATCACTTTTTGTCCCAGTTAGATGAATTTACTTACAAGATCTAATGTTATGTTATGTACTTATGATGCATACACTATTTTGATTTCTGGGGTTTTGGTGATTGGTTTACCTATAATTAATTACTCCTAAAAATGATAAGGAAGTTCGATTTCTGTTTGCGTTTGGTTGATTTAGTGTGATGGGAAATTAATTAATATGAAAGCATTCCTTTCACTCTTTAGTCTCATGTTATTGGAGAAGAAGACGATTTTGGGGTGTTGATGCTGGGGTTGTTGAATTGCCTTGGACTAACAAAAAGAAAACATATACCTATCCAAGTGTATAATTTAGGATTAAGGTCCAACATAATTTGAATTATTAGATTTGGCATAAATGCTCCGTTTATTATGTATTATTTTGGTAGCATTAATGCTTCTCTTTTAAGCCCCTATCACACATTAGACACTCATGCATAGACAATTATTTTGAAAACAACAAATCATGTTATTAAATTGATGAAAACATTATATATATATTAATTGGTGAGCGGATAGACTTATACATTTCTGAAATTATTGGATTATTTTGGGTAATTAATTTAAACAGAAAGGATTGGGTAAGGGTGTATGTGTTGATAGATTTGAGGAAGGCAACATTTCAGCAGTGCGCTGTGGTTAGGTCAATTGAAACATCATTATCTTAATTACATAACTAACTTAAAACTGCAAAAGTCATGTGCATTTCTTGCATTCACATTCATGTATGTATGTTTGACACAAACAATCAAGTTAGCTTATCCGATTCTTAATTGCAAAGCAAAAGCAAGTTCACGTCTTGCATGTAATCAATAATATATAACCAAGCTTGTTCAGTAGAAAGGAGGCCAGTGATTTGGAGTTTGGACAACACAGTATGTTTAGCATTCTCAGCATTCTACAACAGCACGACCTTAATGAAAACTTGAGCAAGCTTCACCAAAACAAATTGATTTTGATTTAATTGCCTAGCTTGATTGACAATTTGAGACACCACATTTCAATTTTCAACTAGATCTAGCAAGATATAGGATTGGTTCACAAGATTGATAATTCTATACGAGATGCAATTTTCCAAAGTGGCTGACTAAAAAATTGCATCTAACAAAGAGCTCAACATATGGATTTTATTTTGCAACTGACTTTTGGATTTCTATGAACCATACGGAGAGTGCTAATATCCCATAGTCTGCATAAAACGGTACACCAGTTATGGATAATAATAATAATGCCTCCAGATAAAAACGTACGAAAGAGTGTTACTAAATACTAACAAATAAAAACATGAACCAATTTCTTCTCTTTAAAGGCCTTTGGCCAAATCTTAACTCACTCTGGAGAAATAACTCACCTTTTTTTTTTTTTTTTCTCTTTTCCCTCTCTCTCTCTCTCTCTCTCTCTACAAGGGGCTTTCATCTTCGAAAGCATAATCTCACCCAATTTCTTAAATGACTTTTGGGCCCAACCACAACGAAAACCTACATCTAAGGCATTAAATGCCACCTTTTCCTACAATTAAACCCTAGAAAAATTACAAGCCAAATTATAGAAAAAAAGGGGGTAAATACTAAATCGGGCTACTTTTTACAACCATCCGAAGAACTATTTTTAAACATAAAACAAACCGACCAAACAAGGATAGTCTAACTCTAATATCACCAGATCCAGTGCACTGACCCTCTCCGTCCTCTTTACTGCTGAAGAGAGTCTGGTCTGAGCAGTCGAGCGATGCTCCACAAGCTGAATTGTATGACTCACATGCCGAATGGCATACCCGAAGCCTGTTGTCTCCATCACTGTCACACTTCTGGATAGAGATCTGGGTATTCAGAGACAACATATTAGTTGTCAGATCTAAAAGACATTATAAAATTCAGATAGCCAAAATGTCATCCATGTCTGTTACATGATAAAGAGAACAGTCTCTATTGCAAAACAAAATGCTTGAACAGAAAGTTGAAGAAAGCCTTAGTCCCTTAAAACAAGCCAAATAATTTAAATTCTTATTCTAAAGCTTTATAACCCAAAATCTTAAGAGTTTCCCGCATTAGATACCCATTCATAGGTCCTCCAGTGGCTGATGTACTAGAGACTAAACCATAAAAGGCTGAAAATAAAATACAATATGAAAGTATTCTCAGTTTTCTAAGTTACGAAAGATATGAAATGGATTGTTGGGTATAATGCCTATGAGAATATCAAATGGAGTTCTTTCATTCGTGGAGGGTATTGGAAAAAGAAAGAAACAGTGAAGTGAAAACAAATTATTTGCAAATCAAAAGATTTAAAATTTTGATGACAGAAAAAGGATGGGGAGACATGAAAACTCCTAGTAATAATACGAAACAAGAGAAAGGTCACTTACCCAGCAGGCTAGTCGCTTGGCAGCCTCATCACAGTTGCTGGTCACAAAAAGATTGAATAACTTCTGAGCCCCACCACCAGGGAACAAACGGTGGTAGTTGGGCGTCACAACAACTTCTTCCAGTTGTTGAAGTATACTTGGTTCACTGGGTGCACAGTGTTGCCCAAGGGCATCTTTCTGCAGCACATTTTTGCAAACAGAAAGACTAGAGATGAGCTTGGAACTGTTCTGACAAGTGTATCCTGCATAGTCAGAGCAACGAAATTCGCAAACTCCATTATCACAGACACCTCCATGGAGGCTACATTGTTCGTCACAGACAGCTGCAGATCACCCAAAAGCACCATGTTATTATATAATTGATATGACAAAAGGCAAACTGCGCTAATTTATTGTGCACAAACACAGTTGGACCACTGCTTAAGTTGGCTTACTAGTTGACAAATAGAATAACTTTCTAAAAAGGATATTTTCATTACCAGTAGAGCAGTCAATGCCAGTGTGCCCATTTTCACATTCACAGACCCCACTTGAAAGGCACTTGCCATGTCCATTACAATTGCCAGGGCAGGATCCTGCAAAAAGGAATAGTCTTCAGTTGAATCACAAAAATGATAACAGATAAAGAATGTATTACAGAAAAGGATATAAGGGCTCACGTTTACTACAATCATGACCATGAAACCCTAGAAAGCAGTGGCATTGTCCATCGACGCAATCTCCATTGAAATTACAAGAATCGGGGCATTGCCCAGAAATAGAAATTGGACCCGTGCTACAGAGTTCATGGTAGGCTGGGCAAATCAGTTCACCTACAGGTTCAAAACTTGACGGTTTAATAACTTAATTTTACTCGAGGGAAATCAGTAGATAGATCAGCATTGTTACCGTTGAAACCAGGAAACTGAACAGGTCCACCAGCTTCAGGACACACTTTCCAACTACCATCCACAGCAACCTAAAAAGAAAATGATCTGTGTATTATATTGCCAATGACATTGCAGCAAAGATAGTTAACAGATTTTAAGTTAAAAAATTATCCTTGCTCTATTTACCATTCTATATGAAAGGCAAAATTGGGAATTGCTTGGCCAACAATGTAGAAGATTTTGCAATGTGAAGATAATTGCAGGTTTATGAAAGCAATTGCATTTTATATATAGAAATCTGTTACTTTATCACAAAAGTCAGGAAGTAGTCATATTTGCCATAGGCTGCAAAGCCTGCTGTAATTCAACCCATGCACACTGATGAAGCATTTTATGAGAACAACATCCAAACAATAGCACCAAACTGTACCTCTAATGAGTTATTTACACATCTGTGCTGATAACAACCATTTCCTTGTGTCATAGAACCCCGTACAAACCCAGTACGTACTAATGATGAGGCCATACACCTACATATTGACGAAGAGAAACTTAGGTATTGTTGTGCAAACTTAATAATTGATTAATAAAATTTGTTAATAAATTCAAAGCACATGATCTCACCTGGAATTACTCCCTCGCACTTCACCCAACATTCTGTCAGGTGCCCTTGCACTGTTAGTGTCTGTACATGATCCATCAGAATAGGCTACAAAATATGTGCAATAATCAGCTAATGAGGACTGACCACCTGCAACAACCACAAAAATATGTTAACACCAAGGGCAAAATCAACTCACGAAAAGAGATCTGTATGCTGTAAATTATTGCATCTGTCTTATTTTATATCTATATTCTTGAACATTTATGCATATAAGATGTGTAAGAAACAGAGACAACATATTAAAACAATATACTGATTACGATCAAATGCTGAGCAGGGCAGCAAGAAATGAATTCTCAATATCCATCATAGAATCATCAAGAGACTGCATAATGAACAGACCGCTGTTGTTGTAGAAGTTGTGACCCTTTCTATCAATTACATATATATATTTTTTCAAATTCCATGCTATAAATAACAGTATTTAAGCAGCATAAACATGTTAGAATGTACAGTTATTTAACAAACATAAAAATGCCAAAAATACATATCGGAGACAAATTTATAAAAAAATAAAAATTAAATTGAATGCAGAAGAACACACCTTTGTTAGCCTGCGGAAAATAGCGAGCCCATTGAGGCAGGTCACCACTATAATTTAAAATTGGGCAATAACCCTCTGCCTCCCTGTTATATGTACATCCAGATAACTGGGTTGTATTGCAATGGTATGCACCCTTCCAGAAGTTGCAAGAGGAGGTAACAAAGTCAGTTCCTTGGTTACGACCCCAGTCGAGACGGTCTGCCATGCTATAATTAGCCTGGTACCAGCCACTATCTTCCAATAAAGCCAGTGTCATTTTTGACACCACTGATCTTGTGTCCACTGAACCTGTCATAATCTCATTCATCAGCAGCCTCTTCTCCCAGTGAGATCCTGAAGGCAGGAAACAAACACTAGTTACTAAATTGTTAGGTGTGCCTGCAAACTTAATGCACACACCATATAATTTCTGTGAGCAACAACAGTTGCAAATCTAGTAGCATACAATTTATTTCCTGTGGTGAAAGCATCTTGCATCACATAACCAAGCAAATCATATAAACACCATAACATGTCTACACCATAACATGTCTTGCTAATCAGTTTCAAGGTGATATCACCTCATGTTCATTAAAATGTTCAACAGCTATACATCTATTGACAGTTGAAATTGATTAAGCACAGCTAGGAACAGAGAACAGAAAGGAAAATAATAACAGAAAAATGAAAAAAATAAAAACCTGATGTTCCACGCCCTCCTCCATCTTCTAACTCTAAACCAGTGAAATTTTCAGAGAATGCCTGCCAATATAACACTCATCAATAGGTTGTTGATTTACAGAAGTTTAGAGCCATAACATTATACAAAGAATATTCTCAATGTATGCTTCTCAGAAGAAAGAGATATAACACTGGCTTTATGGAGTGAGAATTACCCCGTAATGATAACGTGAATGCATGATAACATGAGGAAGCACCACACGTGTCACCACCCGCCCTAGCTTTTCATCCATAACTTGTTGAGTAACCTGCAAAAGGAGGTGACAAACATAAGGAGGTTTAAAATTAAATTTAGAAGAAAAACGAGCAAGGTCCAAATTTATTTCATAAATGCATAAATAAATTAATCAGTATATTTGTGTACCAAGGCCGAGAAAACAAAGAAGAAGGGTAATTTTAAAGGCAGCACAAAACAATAAAGATTCCATCAGGCTTCAGTTTAAGGACACATTTGAATATTTTAAATTCAGTTTGGCTAAAAGCAAATATACATCACTAGAACACTGGAGCTGCAAACATTTAACAGTTTACTTTAGAAATTTTTCATCATAGATGATTTGTTAACTCCTGCTATGTATTTTAATTCATAGGAAACTGACAACATTACATCTCCAGAAATATGGTTATGAATTGTTGCAAAGCCACAAGACTTGTTTATATTAATAACCAATACATGCACATTTCTTTGTCATCATCTCTAGGTGGCTAATAGAGTAAATGCCACAATATTACCTGACCACGCCTTCTTTTCCTCTCATCCCTAAAATGGGAAAAGGCATGGGGATCAAAGCCAAGAACATGCATAACCTGGAGAAGAACCAGTATGCTGATCAGTGCAAATAGTATTTTTAATATTTCCAAATTTCATTAAATTTGAAAACCAACTGACCTCATGGATGAGAGTAGCTGAAAGCAAAGTCTCTGCTTCAGCAGTCAAATGGCGAGGAGCAACATTCACATGTCCTTCAAAGGAAAGGCACCATAGTTTTGATTTCAGAATTCTATTGTACACATAAGCAAGATATAGCTATAAAAGGAAGAATAACCATCAAATGGTTACCAGCAATTGCACGGCCCCATTGATCACGCTCACATGCCACTGCCCATGCGAGAGTATTCCCAGTGGTAGGTCTTGTCGTCACCAGAAGAACCAAGTCTGCATTAGCGACACCCTCTGGATATAAATTTAAAAACAGAATGGCCACCGGTGAGTTCTCAAATGTATACATATGAAGAAGGCCATAAGCCCAGAAAGTTAACAAGACCAACACTCTCAAAATCAACACAACTGCAGCACAATACCTTCAACATATTCATGTGGAAGTTGTACACCTCCATCTTGTCCACATGCAGAATATCCACTTAACCGCAAGTTCCCTTTTACGGGCTCAACTGCTAAGGCTCTCCTGAACCAATCTGCTGTCTGCCCTAAAGCCTTCATTAAATTGCTTCTAAAAGTTAATGTTTTTGTTTCATCATAAACTCTCTGGCAAGAGCACAACAACAGTTGGAAGCATGAAAAACATAAAAATTAAAACCTTGCGAAGACGATGCCTTTTGTCCTCCCCAGATATATCATCCAAAGTGCAGTTATACCAGCAGTCACCATAGATTGGAGGATCAGCATGAGGATTGCAAGATGGAATACCAGGAAGAGTATTAACAGGAGGCTCCCCAAGCTGATGAAAGAAAGAAAGCAAACCCAACATTAGTTAGAGTATGGCCCATGTAGAAACCAACAGTTACCAAGTTACTAACAAGCCAACCTTCACTATATCACCAACTTCTCGACAATCTCTATCAGGTGAGTGACCAACAGCATCGTAATTCAAATATATTCTAATAGGCTGCTTTACATCCTTCTGTTGTTCATGCAAATCAGAAATCTGGAGCAATGCCCTTCCTTTACGACGAAGTTTTGATCTACCAGACTCCTTATAAACTTGTGGGGTGATCGAGTACACCTTGCGACCAGGTCGCTTCCTTTGTTCAAGTATCTGGTCATGGATACATGAATGTGATACGATGTTCTCACTTCCCCGTTCTGGATCTTTCCATCGCACTTGGCGTTCTTGGGATTTAGCATATGTAGATTCAAACCATAACAATATCACTAAAATCTGAAACAAAAAAGAAAAAGAATATATGTTCTGAAAAAGCAAGAGAATTAAAACGAATTTCTGTTAGGCAGCACGAACAACAAACCCCAAACTAATTTGCCAAGAAAACACAGCAGATCTATTAAAGTAAGATGAAAAACAAGTTATCACCAGAAAAAAAAAAATATATATATATATATATCAAATTTAGTAACTTTGTCAGCTTACTGAACAAGCACATAATAAGACTAATGGTTTCAGGCTTGACCCAAAGAACAAATCAGATTACTACCCTTTTAGTTAAACCCCAAATTATAGCTTTAAAAAATCAAAACCAGCTAAAATTTCAAAAGAATGCGACAATTTCTGCCACAAAATTATCTCCTAAACTGCTAAACGAAAAAGGAAAACTGGGTTACCGAAACAACAGCTTTCCGAGTCACACTTGGTTTCAAAATTAACCCAAAATTTATTATTTCCTGAATCTGACAATTGCTCGAGAGTGAAACTCTCACAAAATAAATCTCAAATCTCTTTTACCTTCCCCAAAGTTCCAAAACCCTAAATGCCGAAGAAAGTAAAATTGAACAGCTAACTAAGCTTACCTCGAAAAGAACGGCAGCAAATCGAAGCTTACTATCAAATCTGCGTACAATACATGGACAACACCGAATAATTAACTCCATGAAATGGCGAGAATGGTAGCTCCAACACTCTGAATTCCATCAAATCGCCGGCGATTTTTCGATCGGCTTGAACACCAAAAAAAATCGCAGGCTATCCCATTTGTATCGCTTAATATGAAAATCAAAAAAATTAAATTAAATAAACCCAACAACCTAGTTTCAATCTGTACAAGTGATTCTCAATTGGAAAAGGACAATAAACATAATCGAACAAGAATTAGTAAAAATAAAAGGTCTGGAATCGTGAGAAACTTGTTGAAAATTGAATGTCTTATAAAGTAACTTAAACCCAAAGTATTTTGAGTGTTTCCAATTTCTGCTGTTTCAGAAATTATAAACAGTTACAGTAAACAAAGGAGATAGGTGACAGAAATCAAATAGATGAGCTGGTGGGGTGGGGTGGGTAGAGATGATTTTTTTATTATTATTATTTATTTATTGGGTTTTATAATAACGATAATTTATTCCCGGACAATGATTTGAAATATCAAGACATAGCTTATTAAATACCCTCTTCGTTTACTAAAATTTCAAAAAGACCAAACACTGAATTTGTGTATAATTCAAAACAAACGTTGATCAAGAATAACATTATTTTAATTACATTTCATAACAATGCGAAAAATATTAATTTAAATACCAATCACATGTTTCTGAAATGATATCCTATGGTTGGAAAATATGAAAATACCTTTTAAATGGACCATTTAATTAAAGTCCATGAGAAACACTCATATCTATTTATTCAATAAAATGACGTAATGCATTGAAAAAGGCAAATTGTACAAATTATTATAAATGGTAATAAATTTTTTTGTCAGTTTTGTACATCATTCAATCTCAAACTAAATAGTTAGATTTGAATTTATTATTACTATTTTTTTTTTAAAACACATAATAAATTTAAAATGGATGATTTTTGAAATTGTTACTTTGGAGGATCTACTTGCATGTAAGATTTATCAACAACTTGACAAGAATAGGATACTCTTACTAATCAATGTTTTAAAAAATAAATTATTGAATTATGAAGATATATTGAAAACATTTGAGAACTACTTTGAATTATTGAATGGTTTGACAAGAATTTTTTAATATATTATTCAAAAGATCTTGAGTTTGAGTGAGAAAAAAATGGTAAGATTTGTTTGTTGTAATAAATAAGAAGGAATGAAATAAAAAGCATCCAATGCGGTGATTTCAGTCATCGTTTTAAATTAAAAGCCCGCTGTGTGAGAACACGAATTATCCAGTTCCAGTGCATGAGAGGCAGGCAATAAATAAGTAAATAAGTATCACATGCCGTACGAGTGGTAGCTTTTAATAAATTTTGAAAAAACAAATATAAAAATTGGTTGGTCCACTTTTTCAGCAGCACTGATGTCAAGTTTATAAGACAACTAGCCAATTCGTATGGACCCATCGTTCTTTTATTTTATATTACGTCTTTCCTTATCCTCAAATATTAAAAAAGTTATTAGCATAATCTCCAGGTCCTTCCTGTTGGGGTTGGGGTTGGGGTTGAAGTACTGGAATTTGGGTAAGCAAGTTATGTGAAATAATAAATTAGGATTAAGAGAGTTGGTGAGGTTTGGTATTTAGATGACCTAGCCCATAAGCTAAACTTCGACGTTTTATCGATATTTTCAATTTCTTAATAACTGTATTTGTTTACCAATGTTAGTTAGAATACAGATCATCTGAAACAAAGATTTACGCGTTTGTTTAACTGCATGATTAACCTAATTAATACTGCACTAATATTCTAGTCTTAAAACCCCACCTACCCAAGGCCAAGTCTTACCGGACTCAGGCCCCCACCACCATAAATGCTTTTGAATATGCATTCCTGCTGACTATTCATCTGCATCTGATAATTAATTAAATCGAATTGGTATTATTATGACAAATGAAATTTGATCTACATATCAATTATATTAGGGAGAACAACTTATACATACCCAAGATTTATCATAACGATAAATTGGTACCCAAAAAGTTTTGAAATGATAAATAGGTACTTTCCGTCATGTTCTGTTAGTGATTTCTGTTTATTAATAGTGAAAAGACTAAAATGTCCTTAAAAGTTTGAATTTTAGTTTTTTATAAATTTAAAAATTTTAAAAAACCCCCTAAGTTTACAAATTTCACTAAATACCCCAATATATAAAAGTTTTATAAAATAACAAAAACAGCCCCCACCGGCAAGTGCCAGATTCCGGCCACAACCGCCGAAATCTGGCCGGAAAGTTGCGTTACGACACAGACCCATCAGATCTGTGTCGTAACGCGTCGATCTGGCCTTTTACGGCCAGATCCGTGGCTGATCTGGCCGGAAAAGGCCAGATCTACGGCTAGATCTGGCCGTCGACGCCGCAAAACTCCATCTGCGGCGTCGAAGGCCAGATCTGGCAGTAGATCTGGCCTTTTCCGGCCAGATCAGCCACGGATCTGGCCGAAAAAGGCCAGATCGACGCGTTACGACACAGATCCGACGGGTCTGTGTCGTAACGCAACTTTCCGGCCAGATTTCGGCGGTGGTGGCCGGAATCTGGCACTTGCCGGTGGGGGCTGTTTTTGTTATTTTATAAAACTTTTATATATTGGGGTATTTAGTGAAATTTGTAAACTTAGGGGGTTTTTTGAAATTTTTAAATTTATAAAAAACTAAAATTCAAACTTTTAAGGGCATTTTAGTCTTTTCACTATTAATAAACAGTAATAAACAGAAATCACTAACAGAACATGACGGAAGGTACCTATTTGTCGTTTCAAAACCTTTTGGGTACCAACTTGTTATTACAGTAAACTTTGGGTATGTACAAGTCGTTCGCCCATTATATTATTTATTCCTCTCATATATTGTTGTATTAATGCTCAATATCATATTACATAACAAGACCCATATGCCTGTATTTGTTTTTTGTTTGGGAAAATAGGACAAGTATGAAGTATCTCACTCTTTAACAAAATATACATATATAGTTATAAAAGTGACAGAATATGGTCGACATCATAAGATGTAGACAATTAGGATTAATTTATTTGATCAACTTATTATTGGATACTAAGGAAAGACATTCTGAAAGTGACATGGGTCTCATTATATTTCTTTTTAGATTAGGCGGTTTGCATGTTGAAACACACAATCATATCATAAATAGTAACCCAAATTGGACTTTGATATAACGACCCATATACACTTAGATGTACTTTTGCAACCAGTACTCAGCTGTATATATATATATCAACACCTTAACCACAAGTTTGATTTGTCAAGGGGGAAAGAAAAATAGAATACTTTTGCATTCAGTATTTAATGAATGCTTAAATGCTCATTGACATATATTATATATACCATCCCTAATTTTATAATTGTCAACTTTAAAAGAAAAGACAGGTTCCGGTTCCGGTCTCCCTCGGTGGTGAATGTAAAATAAAGGTTGGTGGACAAAAAAAAAGTCTGGTCATGCGGAAAAAGTTTCACAACTAGATCCACCTTCGGATGATAATTAAAGTTAATCTTCATCTTTGATAATGCTTTTTGTAACTTTTAACTTTTGGATTTTGCGAATGGGTTTCACATTATTTCAGCAAATTCTTTAACCATTAGGTTGGTTATTGTCAATAACTGGGGAGTTTCACATCCAAAAGGCTATCCCATTAGGTGGAGGGACTCTCCTTTATAAGTCCAAGACCTTCTTAATATGCTTCCAATGTGGATACTTCCAAAGTAGGATCCATGATATTCTCTCTCACGCACCCAATCCTGGGTGGACACCGAAAGACGGATCTGTGACACTATACTAGCAAAAGGCTCTAATATCATTGCCACACGCTAGGAGTTTTACACCTAATAGGTTAACTCATTAGATTGAGTGACTCCTCCGTTATAAACCCAAAATTTTCCCAATGCGCTTCCAATGTGGGATCCGTGACACTATACTATCAAGCCATGATTTTTTTTTTTTTTTTTTTAATTCTTCAATTCAATGGTTAATAAATCAAATTAACACATGTAAAGAGGTATGCGTGTCTGCGAAATTGGAAATTTCTTCTAGTAGGTGGCGCGCCATTTACAAATGTCTGCACTTTGGAGTATAATTTTGGCATGCTAAGACAAAAGGTGATCGCTTTTTCATTTTGTGGTTAAAAAGTTAAAGAATGGATGTAGGGGTGCACAATGGCTTTTTCATTTGAACAAAACCAGTGGTAATACTTTTAGGACATGAGATTCTCCAGCTTCTTTAGCTATCGGCAAAGAAGAATTAACAATTACCAAACAAAATGTGTTTATCTCTAGATTCTACAGGATGAAAGAGGAAAACATGTAATATTGCAATGGGGTATATGTATTATTGAGATAGGGGCTACAAGAAGCCAAGAATTATAGAATTTCGAAAGTTCATGTGCTGTACTACATGACAAGCCATAACTTCCAAAGAAAAATAAAATCAAATTATTTGAAACGTAGAAGGAACTGATGTTAATGCTGCCTCTTTAGCTGGCACTTCCACATAATGTCTATTTATGAGTAATGCTACGGATACCGAAATTTTACACCGAATTTTTGTATCGAAAGATATGGCAACCAATCAGACATAACCACACTGGAGTCTTTCGTGAATGAACAGCCGTCCAATATTTATGAACGTCCGCCCATATTTAATAGACTTCCGTTTATATTATATGGACAAGTGTCTATTTACTATAGATGGACGTCCATATAAGATGGACGCCCATCTAAAAAAATTTAAAAGCAAAATAATGGACGCCAGCCCATCTTATATGGACGGGTGTCCATATACCTGCTTCATGTTTTTGCTCCTAAATTAAAACCACAATGAGCAAAATTATGAAAGTGCTAGACTACTGTAAGTTGGGGTCATCTTGATTCTTGTCATTTGCAGTGATACACGGTGATTGAGCGCTCACCATGCTCGACACATCAGGTAGACACTCGTCTATGTGCATGCGCTCTCTCGCCTATTCTAATCCAATTTCCTTTTATCTTCTTATTGCCCTATAAATAATCTCTATCTAATTCTCTTTTTCTTCATCAAGAAATAGCGATAATGGGTTTGCGAACAAAGTTTTGTTTAACTTTTTTTCTCATTTCTGTTTTGGTTCTGTATGCCGGTTTAGCTCTGGCTAAGACAGACCCAAAGCTGAAACAATGCAAGCACCAGTGCAAAGTCTAGAGGCAATATGACGAGGAACATAAGGAGTAGTGTGCGAAAGAATGTGAAAAGTACTACAAAGAGAAGAAAGGACGCGAGCAAGAGGAAGAGGAAGAAGAAGATGGATGCGAGCATTAAATAAATTTAAAATTTGTTAATATTAAAAGATGGGCGCCCGTCCTCTTATGAGGACGGGCGTCCATAAACAATTTAGGCC